GCGGAGTCTTCCAGAATACCATCCAGAAGATATCCAGAGAAGAGCTGGAGGAGTATGGTACAGATACTGCTTCCTTTAAGCTGTTACACAGAGAGAAATTTGAATCACTAATGGATAGCCTATCATCAACAGAGAAGCAAGGGTTTGGATTGGAACCATCAACAAGCAGGAGGATACTGAGAGATGATCTTGAGATGTCTGCTGGTTCTGTAAGACGGAGAATACCAAGACTGACAAGAAACGACAGTGACAGCTCCACAGACACCTCCTCGGAAAGGTTTTCTGGGAAAGAGCTGATGTCCCAGTTGAAATGCAAAGACAACACGTAATGAGGGAGGATATGGGAGCATCTGAATTAAGCTCGTTCCAAGGTCCCATTGAACAGCCAGACCTTACGGTTGCCTCCCAGGTGCCATGGAGGTCATCATCAGACCTTATTACTGTTGGCCCATTGAGCCAGCTTTTTATGATGGAATCCTTGAGAAGTCCTGCAGTTCCATGGCTTCAACCCAACCGGCCTCTCTGCTTCAACACCTAACCTGCCCCAGAGCAGACTGCATGCAGAGGTGGATCCACATCCTACAAGGAGTGCTATCCAGACTCCTGCGTCACCACATGAAACTGGAGATGAGAAGCACAAGGATAAAGAAAAGAGCAAGAAATCCTTACGGCTTAAAAATCTATTCAAAAAGAAACACGAGTCAAGTCCAGAGAAGCTTCAAAGTGGTCTTCAGAAACTCTGACACTTTGCTTTTATTAAATTGAACCAAAAAGCCCTATATTATGTAAGTACTTGCGCCCACCTGTGCTTGCATGGGCATTTGGAGAATGAGATGTGGTCAGGATCAATGGTGGTTCACCATCGTCCAGAAGCAGCAGAAAGTGATTGTGCCATCATTATTCCTATCCCTGGGGTTGTTGGTTGGGATGGAGGCCTGGGACACACAGAGCTCTTATTTCGCACATCTCCTGACGTCGTTATATTTCTTGTTGCATTGTGCCTGCTCTGTGGATGCCAGAAGGCAAGTACACGCTGACTGCTGCTACCCACGTCTACTTACCCTCAGGTGAATTCCTGCTTAAGCCCTACACATGCTAAAAACCCCAGCCTAAGACTGCCGCCAGGCTTTCCACTGTGAGCTTTCTTGCTGATGCTTGCTCTTGCTCAGAAACTCACACATTTGCACACTCGCACCAGACTAAGTGGTAAATGTATTATGAGCCTCAAATATAACTCCACTGTCCAAAGGAAGGCGCACTGTAAAATGGGAGAATTGAAATGAGTAGGAGTGACCTGAAGCTGGTCTAAGAATAACCAAAGAAATATCTCGTGTAAAGAGAAACAAAATGCCTGTAGGTGTGCCTGGCTTTGAAAGAGAATTGGAGATGACGGTAAATGGTTTGATTCCTGTTAAACCCAAAACACACGTTTTAATATTTTGGAGCCTGAAGACAACCCCTTTGCAACTTGGGTCATGCATTGGGCCCAGATGTGAGCCATTTAAAATAGCAGATGCTGGACTGAAACACCCTAAATGCACTTGCCAGTGGGCTTTATTATACCCTCTGTTGCTTGAATAGGGCTGGAAGTATCTGAGTAGAGAGTTTGATAGTTTTTACAAAACTTATTTTATATTTGAAGCTGCTTTCTTTTCTCTTCTTAAGTCTTATTGAGATTATTGGTTGATACCAAATGTGGTTTTAGATGTAGATTTCTTGTAGATTTCTTGTAGTTTTGCCTATTTTTGGTAGCTGACTTGATTTTTAATTTCCCTAAAGCAGAGACAATGCTTGAACATGATTTAGAAGCTGCACAAATCGTCATTTGTTTGATCTTTTAAGGTTAAGTTAAAATATGTCAATATGCTTATAATGAAATACGTGTCCTATATGTTAATGTTTTTGCAATGATTAGCGCTATATTCATTATTTTCTGATAGGTCTCTGGATTCATGTTTTTCTCTGTTTCTTTCTGGTCAGAGGTTTTTGGGCTTCATACTGTTGGGAATATATTATATTTCCATGCATGATCAGGATTTAACAACATTTGAAAAGAGTATTCAATTGACAAAGTGGCATTTTTTGATTATAAAAATTACCACAGTTTAACAGTCCTGATGAAGCAGATTAGCTTCAGATATTTTTATTTTTCTGACTTTTCATAAAAAACACTTAGCATCAAGCTGTTTTTTTCTTTACTTAAGATTAACACTTAGACTTTATTTTTTTCCATCTAAGTTTGAGCTTTTCCTGAAAAGTAATTGTAACTCAGGATTAACTTTTGGGTTTCAAACCAAGTTTTTAAAAGTCCAACATTTTATTTATCTCCAGAACAATTGGAAGTTTGAATGCACTTTTAATGTGTGCAACATCTGTAGATGTTGCTGAATCCGACACGATGTAAATTTGTGATTATGTTCCCTGACTCACTTGATTGCAAACTTTAAAACTTCAATGAATAGCACGGGCTTATATGTCTATGTCTAAATGACCCTGTCTTTATTTTGGACAGGCATCAATATGAGACATGCCTTTAACTATTTAAAGAAATAATTTGTGCACAGCAAAGATGGGGAAGACTATAAAATCATAAACCTACACCAGAAAGAATATGTGTACCAAATCAGGTTATTGATAAACAAGTTAAATAATAAATCACTAATGTGTTCTTGCATTGTAAGACAGCCCACCTCAGTCATCCTGCTGCACTGTCTTTAGTTATTTAAAGCACATGGTAAAACGTTTACATAGCTTATTTTAAAATGTGCAGGAACACCAGGCTTGCAAAAGAGACCGTGCCTTAAATTGGGATGGGCTTTTATTTGACGTTTTATGGTAACAGAAGTTGCTTTCAGCTTTTAATTTAGTTGGGCATTTTTAACATTCAGTAGATGGTTCTGCCAACACAGCAATGTGATGTTGTTTGAGGATGCACTTTAGGGTTTTCAACAACTTATTCTCTAGTAACAAAGAAATAGCCCAAAGATTAAGGAATTGTGTAGACATCACCTATTGAATAAAATAAGTCACTGATGGTCCTGATCCTGTGGACAGACATCTTAGAGCCACAGTTTTATGTCAAATCGTTTGCTGTAATTTAAAGATTTTTTTTTTATTGAGTGCATTGTCAATGGTAATGGAGAATCTATGTTTCGTAGTTGTTTAAAGGTCACATATTAAAGTCATTTTCAGCGTCAGACCACAGCCCCCTGTGGTCTGACGCGGATGTGACGCGAGCTTTCTCGCACATTGCCCTATTTCTTTTTTTACAGTGGAAAGGCAGACTCATAGGGCAGAACAAACACCTAGCTGTGGGAATGTCCCTACTGCCCTTTGTGATGTCATGAAGGGAAAATCTCCAAACGGCCTGTTTGAGCACACACTTACTGAAAAGTGGAGCAGGCAAAAGACAGAGTGGATAGACTTTTCTCATAAATGGGGTTTATAGACAGACTAGGACAAGATATTAGTGTTAGTGAAACATGGTAATGTGCATTTCATATAATATGTGACCTTTAAAGGAACAAAGTCAGTACCCTAAGAAGTTTATTTAAATCAACATTGTTCTTAAATGTAGATTTTAAAAGTGTAGGTCACTTATTTGAATAAATGTTTTTCATTTGTTTGGTTTCAATGTTTAAAGATAACATGAATAACAAATTAAATACCTTGTCTTAGACAATTGTTGCATAAATCTGCTTTTGTTGTCTCATTCACTGACTTTGTACGGGAATAAACAGGGCGGTGAAAATCAGCAATGTTGTACATTATTTTAATTTACATAAACAAAAAACTTAACATTGAATCTTTGTCAAAGAAAACAACAAAAACAATAAAATACTACGGAAACCTATCATACTAATTTTAGTAAAAAATACATAATAATGATAATAATAAAATGATGATGCTGATGATGACAAAATTAATAAAAATAAGAATAATACGAATGATTATTGACATCATCATACTAATTATTATAATCATCACATTTTAAATCACTATTATTAGTAAACAAGAGATAAACATCACAAAAAGTGTCATTGAACTCGGAGGTAAAGACTTTGTGAGAAGTTTGAAGTAGAGCTTGTGTGATGTCCGCTCATACAAAGCCAATATATTTGTTCTGCTCATCGGCAACCAGGAACACAACTCTGGTGAAACATGCGTCTTCATCCTGAAAGGTAATCAGACACAGTAACATGAGTGTCATTAGTACAGAGTCTCTACTGTTGCAAAGATGTCTAATGGTTCTGAGACCATGAAAATACCAAAGAAAGTCCTTACCTGATTCACTGTACTTTCCTCTCCCATGTCAGGTCTTCTCTCAGTCATTTGATCTTTTTCATCTGTAGAGTCATAAATAAAAGGTTTCTTGTTAGACAATGACTTCATTCATTCAATGATCCATCACAATAAGTATGATTCATTTGTATTTAAGTCAATTCAAAATGTCTATAATTAACAGGTAAAAAGTGATTGTAGTGTATTTACCTGCATTCTGACTGCAGAGATAAACAAAAGTCAGGCACAGGAAGGTGGAGAGGACCGTGATGGCTGGACTGAACACCATCATCCAAGATACACCAGGCTCAACATGGGGTGGACCGATGGAGTCACCGGAGTCACTGGAGGCTAGGTCAAATATAGAATGTGGATTTAGTTTTACCAATGGTGTGCATCACAGCATTCTGGGTAATTCATGTGACTAATAATTCATGTGATAAAAATGCCCAAGTCAGCTCCCTCCTTTTCTTCTTCTTTCTTATTTGGCATCCTTACTATGTGCAGGTCCTGGAATAGCTATTCTGACATAACTGGTGTAACAGTTAAAACATTTTTGCGCCCATGGAAGTTGGCGCTCCCCATGTGACTGGGCTATGGTCAGTATTAATGACAGTGTGTTTCATAACCAGAGGAACTTTACCTTTTTGATATTCCTTATTTTAAAAGTATGCATATTGTATTTCAACAAATCATCCCACATAAACACAACCCAGGATAGAAGTCAGAGCAGAATACTTACCAAGTAGCACCCTTGTTGCCATGTTGCCATATCTGTAAACATATACAGTCGTGATTTTTTCCTCTGCCAGCACCTTGAACCGCTCAGTTCCGCAGTAGTAGAGACCCTCATCAGAGCCTGTAACATTCATGATCAGCAGGTCATAGGACTCAGAAGACTTGTTCTTCACAAAATGAAAACGAGGGAGAGGTTGCAAAACGCTGTGCAAACTGCTGGTGTCTTTCCATGCATCGTATTTAAGTTTAAGAACGAGAGAAGGCTGGTTCTCATGAGAACAGTTCCTGTACCAAATGTTGTAGACTCCAGGGTACAACTTGCAGTCACAGTAGAGAGTGATATTGTCTCCTGGTCTGACTGTCACCTCCGTCAGTGATGCAGAAATCCCATCATGGCTGAATGAAGCGACTCCTGCAATACAAACACAGCCACACACACACACGGTTGAAATGTGTCCAGCGTAACACGGACTAAATGCATCTCACTCAAAAACAAAGTGAAATTAAGTTTTTACCAAAAATCAGGAGAACAATGTGAGCAATAGTCAGCCAGTCCATTGTGTGATGGTGACCTGAAGACTGGTGTTTAATGAAAAAGTGGAAAAATGTGGTTTTCACTCACTGCTGTTTTTGCAGAAAGACCTGAAAGGCAGTTCCATGAAAGGAAGTGTATGCGGTGGCTGGTGACTGGTGACTGGTGGCTCTAGCGAAAGATTTTTTCTGTTTTTCTTTTTTTCTGTTGGTGTAATGCAATAGGAAGGTATGAACAAAGTAAAGGTCAGAACACACCCACTGTGTTCGCACATCCAACAAAGGAGCCAGCTAGAGTTTGTATTTGTTTTTATGAACGGCTTGTGTTTTTGCTTGATGTTTTATGCAAACATTTTTAGTTAACTTTGTTTTACAGAGGACATATGATCCCCCTTCTCTACCTTTTCAAACACTCCCCTGTGGTCTTAAATGAAACATCTGTGCTGTGCTTTGGTCAAAATATAACATGAATCAAGCACCAGAGGAGGTTTGTGACCCTGTATAAACCAGCTCTCTCAGAACGCTCCGTTTTGGTGTGTGCGTCTTTTAAATGCAATGAGACCCCCCCCCCTGAGTTTTCCCCATAGACATCACTCCTCTGTAGCAAGAATAAAAATGGTGGACCTGCGCAAAAGTTTTGTTCTAGGCTGGGGGTGGAGTCCATGGGTGGAGATATCAGGGGAGGGGAGAGGATTTTTTTTTAAACAAGAATCCCACTGTGACATCACAAGGAGAGCACGTTTGAAACGGAGCATTTTTCTCTGTGTTGTAAGACTTATGCAGACCACAAATAAAGGACTGGATGGATTTATTTCACATTTTGTGGGTCAGTAGACACTCAGGTTACCAGATATATGTTCAGAAACACTGTACAAGTTGATATTTCATAATATGTCCCCTTTAAAAAGATGATCTACAAATACAGATATTATAAATTAGAGCCTTATATTACTTAAGAGGTTAATCATAACAGTGCATTTTTTTACAATCAAAGATATCCAGCCAGCCATTATCTTTACCACTTTTCCAGTTTGGGGTCACAGGGTTGCTGGAGCTGATCCCAGCTGTCATTGGACGAGAAGCGGGGTACACCCTGAACTGATCACCTGTCAATCACAGGGCTGACATGTACAGACAGACAACCAGCCACACTCACATTATTACTTACGGGCAATTTTTAGAGTAACCAATTCACCTAACGAGCATGTGTTACGTTTGTTTGTGTTTTCTCTCTCTCCTGTGTGTGCTCCCCAGGTGATGCTCCTCAGCCTCAGAGTGCCCAGCATCACCTGTGGCTAATTACTAATCAGGGGCAAACTATAAAGAGCAGGAGAGGAGGCTGCCAGTTGCCCGTGGGTCGTTGGACTGCGTGTGTCTTTGACAGTGACAAATTTAGTGTGAGCCTTCTGTGGAAGCTTTGTGTTCCGATTCAGGCCTTATTGTTTATATCTGGAGTGTTAGTTTTGAATTGCCTTCTCTTTTGTTTGGTGTTTTATCGAAGAAGCTTGTTTTGTGTTGCACATTTTGATTTAGTTTGTTAATAAATAATTTTAACTTTGCTAATATTTTAACTTTGCTATTTATTTTCCCTGGGTTTTAATTTATTGTTACTCCCCTCATCCCCTAGCCATCTTGGGGAACGTAACAGCATGTCTTTGGACTGTGGGTTGAAGCCGGAGTACCCAGACTGAATGCTTGCGTGCACGAGGAGAACATGTAAACTCCACAGAGAGGCTCCTGTCTAAGAGGGATTTGAACCAGAAGTCTACTTCCAGTGAGGCTACACCACTAACCACTGCACCACCCTGCAGCCCAATTAAAGACATGAATATTCTTATCAATAAACTACAAAAGCCCTCATACAATGTACAGGGAAAGCATATAGAATCTATTTTAAACACGGACATAGTCTCAGTGACATCACCCAGTGGATGCAAAGCTGAAAATTATTTGAAAACAGTGAGCTTCAGATTCTGTTTGTTTGCTTAAAATGACTTTCTTTAATTCAAAAATGTAGTTTTCTTCCCCCATCAGTGCATTGCATTATTAATACATATTATAAAGGTCAAGTTGTCAGAGTTGATATAAAAAATCAGATACAAGAAAGAAAAGTTGTTGGGACTAGTGGACATAAAAAAAAAAAAAAAAAAACTCTTTGTTTCCCTTTTGATTTGTTTGATACCTCTCATGTCCACTAGAGGTCAGGAGAGGAGTCGGCATCTGATCACAGTGAGTACTGAGGCAGCGGTGATTTGCACCACAGCCTCAATGTTTGAACAATTTAGCAGGTAAACGTACCCGACTTTAGGATCATTTCAATTTCAACTGTGCAAAATGATAAACTAAAAAGAACAACTCTGGCCTTGTTCTCAACATCTGAGTTATTTTTAGACTGACCACAGAGATGTTGTGCACTGAAATCTTCTGCAGGACACTGAGCTGCAGCTTCCGTTTGTCTGCATGTCAGGCTCTGCAGCTCTTTGTTGTCTCTGTGGGTTTCCTGTTCAAACGAATTCTCGGACCCCTGGGCGTTGCGGTGGTTTACTTCATTGCACAATCGTGAAACTGATAGCTGATTTCAAACACACAGGATAGTGGAGAGAACAGAAAGAAATGATCCCATAGGATAATAATAATTCTTTCCAGTGTCGGAAGTCTTTGAATGATCAATCAAAACTCCTTACAAATGGATTACTCTGATTTATTACATAAAATATGATCACAGGATTTTCTCTATGTCAATAGGAAAAATAAAAAAAGAATAATGATCTGATGACGTACAGGCAAAATGATAAGATTAAAAACTTTTGTCCCATTTACCACATGGAGGAAAATACAAAATTAGTAGCAACGTATCTTCTTAACGTTGAAGTTTTTGTGCTCCAAATTACATTTTAAATCAAAATAACATCTTTAAGGTTGTTTCATCAAACAGTAATAGTGAGATGAGATACGATTACCTTTTTAAAGCTAACAATGCTAATTTAAAAATACCCCCCCAAAAAAATCATTGATTTTTGGGGCTTTTTGTGCCTTTATTGAAAGAGACAGGACAGTGGATAGAGTTATCAAGGTGAGACAGAAAGAGAGAGAGAGAGAGAGAGAGAGAGAGGGGAATGACTAGCAGGACGGTAGCGTGGATGACAGCCTCTTTACATGGAGCGTGCAAACTAGTCAATAAGCCACCGGCGCCCCAATAAGATTAATTTGAATATGTTGTAAGTGGAGCAGGAAGCCCGTAACCAATGTGGTTCATAGATCTTAGCACATGCTCCCTCTGGATATTTGCAACCTCTGGGTATACACATAGACCGTATAAAACAAGGACATAGTCTTAGTGAGGTCACCCATAAAATTATTGATTTCTCCCGTCAATAAAGGCATTTTAACAATAACTGTGTGTGTATATGACTTAACGAGCTTTAGCAGCCAGACTCAAGTGGACACTAGAGGAATTGTAGTTTTTTCTGCTCTTTCTTCTGACATTTTTCAACACTTGAGGTCTCTTGGGTATAGTCAGGACTTAAGAATTCCTCGGATGATCCAAAATCCAGATTTGGGAAGTTGGTGGCTCAGTTGGTAGAGTCGGTCGTCTCTCATCCGGAAAGTTTGGTGTTCGATCCCCAGCTCCTGCAGCAACATGTCCGATGTGTGCTTGCTGCAATGCAAACTTTACCCATAATATTGTGATGAAAATGCATGTGACTAATAAGATGTGACCATTTTTATTGCCCAGAACTAATCTACATCAGTCAACATGGACAGAAACTATTATGATCTGATAGCTCATTACATATTGCCTGTGAGAAAAACAATCAAAAAAGAATAGAAGAAGTCAACGTGCTCTTGAGCTTCGTCTGCAGTTTACTGGTGTGTTTGTCAATCCTGCAGCCGGAACACGACTCGTGTTAAACACATGTTTTCATCCTAGAGAGAGAGAAAACATGTCTTACTTTGAGTTATTATTATGATGCGTCTTGTGCTCTGTTGTTATATCATAAAATGTATTACTGCAAACAAAGGAATAATGATAAAGGTAAATTATACTGCTGGTGTTTGTTACCTGAGCTGATATTTCTCTGGTGTCAGTTCTTTCCTTCACCACTGGAGATTCTGCAGAAAGAATACAACGCCATTGCTAAGCAGATCCCAACTTTACACTTTACATTGTGTGCATGTATCGTGATCTTTAACGACTTTAACATGAAAAGAAGAGAAGAAGAAGACGAGGCTTCAGGTACCTGTTCTCTGACTGAAGTGAAACACCAACACTAAGGAGATGAAGGAGGAGAGAATGGTGATGGCTGGAGTCAACGTCATCATCCAGGACACCCCACTGAGGTCAGCTGCTGCAGAGACAGATCACACTTTGCTTTGACTCCAGCAGCCATTTCGAAAATATTTTCACCATCACTACAAAAGTTTGAATTCTTCTTTTCTCTGGTTTATTATGCAGGGACAGATGCGGTATACATGGAGAACTGAAGGACAATTTTCAAATGCTCTTCACAGCAGTATTTATAACTAATACTAATTTCTAATGCGTGTCCCTTCAATATAAAATACATAACACATTGTGGATAATTATGTAAAACATGCTTACAGAGAGAGCTAATCTTTGTTACATTATCATTTTTAAATTCTTTATTTTTTCTCATTCATACACTTTGTCCATTTTAAATTTCATATCAGTACATGAAGCAGACATTAAAACAGGTTTATTCTTTGACTGATTAAGTATTTGAACAAATTCAAATATCTTATCTTATCTTATCAATATTTTTTTTACTCTCGTTTCCCGCATTAATGAGTACTTTTTGAAAGTTTTCTCGAGATCTAAATATTCTTTCTGGTGTAAATGTCGTAATCTTTTCCGTCTTCGCTGTGCATGAGTTATATTTGAAAATGATATCAAGCCCGTCTCTAACTGTCCCAAATAAAGGCAGATTCATTTTATAGACTGGAGGAAACAAAAGCCCGGGCTGTTATTTGAAGTTTTAGGATACAATAGACTTTATTGTTTAGACTGTTTAGAATCAATCAATAAAAACAATAGAAAAAAACACACATCAACACATAAACAAAAAGGCACAAACCAATGCAGAACAACACAACATATATTGCACATTACCCATAATGCATGCTTTGAGTAAGCATGAGAGATAAAGT